AAACAGTGATGTGTGTAATAAAAATGGAACTAGCCCCAAGCTAGGGACTTCCACCGGTCCTCAGGCTTGGAGGTGGACAGTCTCCTGGCCAGCTTCTTCAAAAACTTTCTTCTTGGGACTTGAGTCATTATATTTTCCTCGTCCTCTCACCCCACCAGTCACTGGGAAAGAACACACAGTGTAGTTTGGGGCTGGTCCCTGACACTCATCCTCTCTATGCTTGGGCAACTATCTCTCATCCTTGGAACTGGTACTTACATTGCTACATTAGCTCTGTTGTGCAGTCTTTTGAAAAGTTTAATTTATTTTTAAAACAAGAAAAATATTTTAAAAAACAAAATGTGAATTTACCTGTAATTCTCTTACTATGAAAACAATTTCAATTTTCCATTTTCTCTTTTGACCTATCACATATATAGTTTCTAGAGGTATAAACATAGAATGTATCAGTTGTGTATTATGCTTTATTAAAAGCCTTGATGTTATTTTCTAAACTAATAAAATTTTTTCTTAATATTATTTTCTAAAAACATGCTTTCCTAATCATTAATTACTTTATTGATTTTAATGGCCTAATACTATTACCTACAGTTTTTATCATAATTGATTTGATTGCTCCCAAATTTTCAGGTGTTAAAATGTTTTTTATGTTATAATTTATTGGCCAGGCAAGGTGGCTCACACCTGTAATCCTAGTACTCTGGGAGGCTGAAGTGGGTGGATTGCTTGAGCTTAGGAATTCAAGAGTAACCTAAGCAATAGTGAGACCCCATCTCTAAAAATAGAATAACTGAGGCAAGACAATCACTTGAGCCCAAGAGCTTGAGGTTGCTGCAAGCTATGATGCTATGGCACTTTTCTCAGAATGCCAGAGTGAGACTCTGTCTCAAAGTAAAAAATTATAATTTTTTTTTTTTTTTGAGACGGAGCCTCAAGCTATCCCCCTGGGTAGAGTGCCATGGCATCCCAGCTCACAGCAACCTCCAACTCCTGGGCTCAGGCGAGTCTCCTGCCTCAGCCTCCCAAGTAGCTGGGACTACAGGCGCCCGCCACAATGCCTGGCCATTTTTTTTGGTTGCAGCCATCATTGTTGTTTGGCGGGTCCAGGCTGGGGATTTGAACCCGCCACCTTAGGTGTATGTGGCTGGCACCTTAGCCGCTTGAGCCACAGGTGCTGAGCCATAATTTCTTATATATAATAAATGTTGCTGCAATAACTTTGTGTATGAAATTATAAAATATCATTTTTTTTTTTTTGAGACAGGGTCTCCCTCTGTTGTCTATGCTAAGGTGTAGTAATGTTATCATAGCTTACTGAAATCTCAAAGTTCTGGGCTCAAGCTATCCTGCCTGGGCCTGCCAAAGTGCTGAGATGGCGCCTATAGTTGTGAGCCATGGTGCCCAGCCAAAATATTATTTCTGATCATTTACTTGAGATATGGATATTGCAATGGGTATGGATGGCTAGTCAAAGGATATAACTGTTTTGATGACTCATAATGGGTGAAATAACCCTTAAAAGGGACAGAAAGCATTCCCAGTGCCACCAAAGATGCTGCAATACCCAGGGGGCATAAATCCTTGCCAACCTGATTCATTCATTAATCATTTTTTCCTGTTGTAAGTGTTCTGATTTGTAGAATTACAAATATTGAATTAGCAAGGTTGAATATTTTTCCATCTTTGTTTTCCCTGCCTTGTATGAATCATATGTTTATTTTTTTGCATATATATGTGCAAATTTATTCATATCAGACATGATGATGCTTTTTACTGAAAAGCTACTAACCCTTCTCCTAGCATGTTGTAAATGATTCTCCATTTTTACGTTTTCCTGTTATCTGTTTTTGTTCGAGTTGATCATACAGGAGTTTGAAATTTTACATAGCTGTACTTATTATATATTCTTCTAATCTTTTGGTTGTTGGAAAATATTGGTTGGGATAAATACTTTGTGTCCAGTGCTGTAGTTTTTGAAAAATGATGAACACTTCAGTCCATCTTCAATCTTGTGCTAAAGAGTGAAACGATGATAGTTTTTCTTCACTGATACTTTGAATTTTGTTCTAATACTTTAGAGGCTCTTTAGCCAATAAAAGGCTGCTTCCATCCTAGGGTGGCCTGCATGCCTTTATGGTAATTCTGATTTTTATTTAAAAATCATTTTATTTTTAAAATAGTGGCAAAATTTTAAAAAGCATTATGAGAATAAGCACTGTGTAAAGCCAACAACAACAAAATTAAGTTTGTGGGTCAGATTAAGCCTATGAGCTGTGAAATATTGTCCTCTGATCTACACAGCTTTTTTTTTTTTTTTTTTTTTTTTTTTTGA